CAATATGTGGTTATTTTTAAAGTTTTCAATGAACATTCAATCAGTCCGGCCCTCGGCTTGCAGCAAAAATTTTTATCTGGCCCTCCGTCCATTTGACTTTGACACCCCTGACCTAAAGCAACAAGACGTGTCAAAATGTTACGTTTGAAAAGGTCTTGAGTAAGACCCATGTGTTGAAGGTTGTCGTGCCTATGTCTGTTTGAGTCATCCCCTGAGCCATCCTTGCATGTTCTTTTTTTGGATGAAGAAGGAATTTAATTCCTATGACGTTGTAGTGCATTCCACTTTCTGGGATTATCCTGTAAGCTCTTTGCACAGTATTATTTCAATTTTTATAAACTTGTGTGTGTGTGTGTGTGTGTGTGTGTGTGTGTGTGTGTGTGTGTGTGTGTGTGCGTGTGTGTGTGTGTGTGAGATGGCTGTCTCTGTAGCTGTGTTGTTGTTGACAAATGAAAGTCTCATGTTCATGTGGCACTCAACAGTGCACAAGTTTAAGCCTTTTAAATTCCGGACAAAAACAACACTCTGACCTCTGCTCTGCATTTGTAACTTCTGTGAGGCTTATCACACATTTTATTTATAATTGTTTTTTTTTGCAGCAGCAGCAGCAGCAAAAATAATGGAATTCCCCCAAACCACCAAAAACACCACTTTTGCAAAGTCAACATGAAGAATAATTCTACTGTCTCATCCAAACACAGGAGACAATCTATTAATCAGCCTTTTGAGAATTACTCAAAAAGTACTTGTAATAAAACAAGTGCCAGGCCTGAAATATTTTTTTTTAAAACCTACACAATGTGCAATAACATGAAAAAAATGAACATTTGATAGTAAAACATAAGTTCCACACCTCAATATAAAGGTATAGAATTTTACATTGTAAATTATTATTCACTCCATAAATAATCATCCAATAACTGACCTGAAAGGTAATCTTTTACCATATTTGCACAGCAGAGCTTCTCTTTCACAAGCAAAGAGACTTAATCAGTTTTTCTGATTCACCAATCACAAGTTCCGCATATTAATTTAAACTGTTGAGATGATTTCCCTGCGGCTGACTGGTGACTAGTTGAGGGTGTAGTCTGCCTTCCACCCATAGTCAGCTGGTATAGGCTCCAGCAACTCCCTGTGACCCTGTTCAGCATAAGCGGTGTTGACATTGGATAGATGGATGGATGTTGAGATGATCAGCGCAGAAAAAAAAAAAAAAGCAACATTTGCGGGAAAGAAAAACGAACCCCTGCTATGAGATGCACAAATGCCATTTGTGAGCCGGACCAACATAAGAAACGTAACTTGATTGTAGAATTTGTAGTTGTCTACTTTTAGCAGGCTATTAATTTTGTTGAAATTTGCTTGCCACTATGTTTGCGACTCTTTCCTCGACGTTTCAGTTGCTATGCAGTTGCTGTGGCTCTTTTATGCTTTCGTTCTTTATTCTGTCATATCGGCTTGACAGTATACGTATGAACGTGGATTATTCAGGGACACGTTGTCAGTAAGTCGAGCTTCCTCCCAGTAAGAATGTCAGCTCTGTTCCATGTCTTCTGCCTCCAGCCCTGCTCTCTGACTTTGTATTTTCATAGATAAAGACTTTTACTTTTCAACTTCCGTGTCTGCTTCTGGGTCCTAATTCCGCTCCCCATGTGACAACGATGCACAGTAGATGGCCATCTTTGCAAAACATGCATCGAAACTGTGAGTGAGCTCAGTTACGGCAGTCCAGGAATAATCAAGGATGGAAGAGGAATTCCATTGCATTCTGCTACCTTCAGGTTGTTCATATCAGTCACATTGAGTCAGTTGCTAAAATTAGGTTTCCTTCGAGCTTTGTAGTCCATTCACTTTTATGAAAAGGTCTTTCAAGCAATAAAATACCACAAAGTACTTTGTATTAATTAACACGAACAATCTCCCTGTATTTGTCAGTGAGCAGGGTTATGCAAAGGCATAGGG